CTGACCAGCCAAGACCAGGCTGGAAATGGCTGGAAACCAGCCTGGAAATGGTCAAAACCCCTCTAAAACCAGGTTGGTCAACCAGCTAAAACCAGCCAGCCATCCTATGCTGGTTTAAGCTGGATTTTTCAGCAGGGCGGAAAATTATGTTCTGTAATGTTTATGATTATTATGACTTCATGAATTGTTAGCTGAATAACAAACTTAATGAAATAGTCCTTCTTTTCCTGAGATATCAGCAGTAAATGTGGCAGAAAAGTGAATAGAGTTAATAAAGATAACAGCCGTTTCTTTTAATTGTATGCTAAGCACTCATGCTAACTTTAAACCCACAAGCTACACAGTTAGCTATGTTATGCTACGTTTTGATATGTTTATTTTGTTTTGTAGTGTGCCTAGAAAGCAAAATCTGTCAAATGTCGATAAACTCTTCATCCTAACTCGGCTATTTACATTTCCCAGAAATTGTCATAAATGTTAAACTGACTGAACCCTTGAGGAATGTACGCTAGCCAGACATTCACACTGACACATAGCATGCTGTGTTTAATCCGCTTGTAAAGTGGTGACGTGTTGGTGACGTATGTAAGACGTATGTAAGGGTTCCACTCATTTGAGTTAAGAAATTGTTTGTTTATGATAATTTTTAGTTCATATAACACATTAAAGTTAATTTTATATAAAATCATTGTGTACACAACAATCTCTGGGCTTGCTGCTTCACAAATACCAAAATTTTAACAATTTATAAAAAAAAATTAATGATTTTCTGGCCATCGGATATTAGGCATGGATCGATATATATTGCGATCGTGATTTTGGACAGTATTAAATCGCTTTGTAAACGTTCTTAATTAGGGGCCACCCCAATATAATTTTGCTGTTGACATTATTGATTTAAATGTACTTATAAATTCCCAATGTTTAAATAAATAAAATGCAGCTACTAAATTATTGTTGGTGTTACTGACGTAGCTGATTCATTGTCTCTCCCCCTTAGTGCTGGTTCAATGCTGAATGCTGGTGAAAGCAAACTGACGCATGCGCGCAGAAAACCATTCCCGCGCGCGTCACGCACTCCCGTGTGAATCCCGGTTGGTTGTTTGCATGCACACCGACAAAATACGCGCCGCTCATGCGCCGTGAAACGGAGTAACAGCCTATTGTGCAGAGGTGAAAGTCGACTAAAGTTTATATAATATGATGATGATGGTGTTACTTTCACTAAGCATGCCTTTAAAGCAGAAAGGAGGGATAATGAGTCAGGGAGGTAAGACTTCATAACATGAGTTCGCCCAGGGTGTCATTTAAACTAGAACTGCCACTACCCTTCCCGATCGTCGTTGACAGCACGCACACACCTTCAATAGACAGCAATGGCAATTTAATATTTACCTTAAGGTACAGTATATCAATAGAAGAAGCTGCATTAATAAAATGACTCAAAAAGCAATATGGATAAATGATATTATTAGGTATAGTGAGTGCGTATAGTAATGCCTTTTGTTCAGTTTAATAATTTGTTTGGGTTATTAATAAACTCATTATTCTTTCATTTTCTTTTCAGCTTAGTCCCTTTATTAATCCAGGGTCGCCACAGTGGAATGAACTGCCAACTTATCTAGCACATTTTTACACAGTGGATGCCCTTCCAGCTGCAACCCATCTCTGGGAATAACAAACTCATTAATCTTCATTAATTTTAGACATGGCATATACCGTATGATGTACAATAAAAGCACGTAAAAAGTTATTTATACAGTATTTATATGAAAAGTGTTTTTCAACTAAACATAGATTTTTATTTGGTTTGCACATGTACTTCCTGAATTACTTCAAGGAATAAATAGCAATATTTCAAGAAGAATTAATTAAATGAATAAAAACTACAATATTATATTTACCAAAAACACAAATATAACATTAAACTGAATTCAGATTTTTTTTGCCACCCCCAGATTTGGTGCGGCCTCTTCTGGCCACCCCTAAGAAAATTTTCTGGGGGCGCCACTGTTCTTAATTACCACTGCATGAGTCTCCCCATACATTTGTATAGAGCACTTTTTTATTTTTTTTTATTTTTTATTTTTATTGAACAACAAATATACAATTTAAACATGACATCCAAAAAATACAAAAGTAACTAATAACATAAATTAAAATAAATGACATAAATTAAACAAATGAAACAGACAATTCAACATAGAGGTCTTTACAATGATAATATTTTAACCGATTAACAGCAAGAGTACTAATCAATTAACTTAAGCTCCTTTGCCACAATAATTGTATTTATACATTTTTCGCTCTTAATATATTGGAGCGATTCTATATACAAATGAAAGTCTGCAATAGCAACCTTTAAACAAGGTTTAGAGTTATTTAACCTGCATTTATGAATATGAAATTTACCGAACAAAATTAAAAGATTCAATAAAAATTCCACAGATAAATTGTTTGAAACAAAATAAAAAATAACGTCTTTGGGGGTCAAATCGCAACTAAAACCTGATTTTTTTTTTTTTTTTGACATACAATGATAGACCTTCCCAAAATTTTTTGAATATTCACAGTCATAAAAAAGATGAATCAACGTCTCTGGGTGATGTAAACAGAATGAACAGTTTCCATCCGTCTGCGTAAATTTAGTTAATGTTTGATTACAAACATAAATGTTATGTAAAATTTTTAAATGCAATTCCCTGTATTTGTTACCTAAGCAAAAACGAAAAGGAAGCATCCAAGCTTTTTTCCACACAATATCATGGAAATAAACATTCCAAAAAAATTTTCCTCTAGGTTGTAATGCTCTATTTTTGAAAAATATTAATCTAATAACTTTGTTTGTACATTTTTTTACTACAAAAGTCTACCCCATTTAAGTAAAGAGCAGGATAATTTCTATTAATATTGATACTATATGAAGACATATTTGAATAGAGCACTTGGTGCCGGAAGCCGCTTTGCATGACGTCACACTTAACAAGCGGTTAACGTGTTGTGATCGTCAGCAGTTGGAGATCACTCCCTCCTTCATCAATTACAGCTGATAGTCATCTGGACACTGGCACACACACACACACACACACACAGCTGCAAATCATTTACACTGATTACCTTAACTGTTTATATACTTTTCATTTACACATCCAAGTCTTGCTTAACTGTTGATGCATTTCCTAGTGGTTTTTAAATGTCATTTTGGATTGTCTTTTATGCTCTATATGCCCTTTTTTAACTCCTACCTGACCATAATCTTAAAGGGGTGGTCCATCAAGATACCATATTTTAAACTTCAGCTGATGTGTAATGTAGCTGTGTGAACGTAAACAGCATCTCTGATGCTCAAAGTTCAATACAAAGGAGACATTGGCTTTTACAGAGTTAGCTTAGCAAAGCCTACAGTGAACAAATTTGGGGACTACAAAAAATACATCCAAGCTAGCAAGATCACAAGGGCTTTCGGTTACGTGCATTTACAACATACTCACATCCTGCGCAGCAAAGGGGCGTGGCCAGAGGTGCTGTAATGATATAGCAGAGAAAGCTAAAATGGCGTCCAAGTGCTGCTATTTCCACAGAGCTTTTTCTGTTTCTGTATTTGGGCTTCCAAAGAACACGACATACAGTCTAATTTTAATTATATTCCAGAGAATTATATAAAAAAGATATAGCGCTAGCATTTTTCAAAGGACAACTTCCAGAATCAGGGCTGGATTCAGCTGAAAACTCCAACCAACGAAGCTGTGGATTGTGGGGCACAACTTGTAAGTATTTTTATTTGTTAGCATGGATTAACGACAGGCACAGTTTCTAGCGCTTATGGTATGTTGTAGCGGGGATGTAAACAAGAGGAAATGCTGTTTGACACTGCTAACAATGTAGCTACAAACTCATATTTATCAGCCAAACCGCTGTAAACACGCAATCTTCTGCAGCGTGATCAGTGTTTCTCTCTATCAGTGTCTCTATGTGGCTGCTCTCCAGGCGTTTTACATGTCAAATAACAAATTTGCTAAATATATGAGAACATTTACTTTCACATGCTTATTCTGAATATATGTGAAAGACACTTGTCAGATTTTTTTAGAGCGCAGGCGTGAGCTGTGTGCTCTTCATATCTATCTGATTCAGGCAGCTAACGCTGCTAACAGCTGCTCTGACTGGACTGTTTACACGGCGCAAAAGCGCACTGTTGCCAACTATTTTCAATGAAAAGGCGTTAAGCTCATACGTCAGTTTGCATATTACTGATATCATCACATTATACCATTTCTGTTTGTTCAACAGCCTATGGTTAACAAAGGGGTATCAATATTTGCACTACGCATTATATATGCATGCCAACCCTACTGAAAAAATTGCTTAAACTAGCCTTGGCTGGTTGGCTGATTTTAGCTAGTTGACCAGGTTGGTTTTAGAGAAGTTATGGCCACTTCCAGCCTGGTCTTAGCTGGTCCGGTTGGTCAAGCTAGTTTTAACTAGTAATTTTTTAGCTGACCAGCTAAAACCAAGCTTAAAATGGCTGGAAACCAACCGGAAATTGGCCAAAACCCTCTAAAACCAGGCTGGTCAACCAGCTAAAACCAGCCAACCAGCTCAGGCTGGT